TTTCTAGTTCAAAGGTTGTATAGAGTTGTGCCGGGCGCGCTGGTCTTGACGTTTCCGGATGAAGCGTGCTGCTGCAGATGCGAACTTGGATTCAGTTGACATGGGATCAGATCACAGCAATTCGGAAGCTGCGTGCAACACTGGTGAAGATCAACCGTTTGTGAACCAGGCTGACGCATCAGCTTTTCACCTGACTGATGCAATGTCAGCTGCATCAGCTGCCGGGGAAGATGCTGAGAACTTCAACTGGCCAACAGGGCCCTCAAACATGCAGGATCTGTATTCATGGCCTCAGCGATATGCAACAAAGTTGTTGGGGCATGGCCAAGATGGAGCTACAGCAAGAGCTTGTTTGTCAGAACTCTTGAAGGTCGATATCGTTCACCATGAGGGATTTTCCGGCTCTGGGGGCAGCGGTGCGGCATTGCATATGTGTCATTCTGCTCTCAAGAGGGAATTGAAACAGTTTCAGCCAAACGAATCCCAAAGTGCCTTTGGCTACGCTGCATAGGGTCAGTTTCCTTTCCATATATAACATGTAAGACCTATATTTATAAGTGCTCACCCATGCGCTATTTTTTTTTGGGGGGGGAAAGGCTTTTGTATCACCTTTGCGAGATGTGTAACCTTTGCTCAGGCGACGGAATCATCATCAGCAAGACTTCTTGTGACATTGATGACAAGTGCAGAGAAGTCTTGTGTTCACTAACAGAGGAGCAAATTTTGTTATGAAGTCACTGTGTCGAAATGTAGTGCAGTACAATTTTGCCATCAGGGATTATTTTGCTGGCAGGACTACAGGCCATGCCATGTTCAGGGCGGATTTGAAACCAGAGTTGGCAAACAGGTCTTAGATGAGATGGATTCTATCAAGGAACAAGTCATGTTCGAGCTTGATCAAGCACTGAGCAACTAGACTGAATAAAGAAAATCACATAATTTTCTTGGATAAAGAGCTTAGGAAGACATCAATCAACAACAAACCAATTTGTTTTTCCTATTTCAGGTGAAGCTGACGTAGGTGACGAGCAGCTGTCCGATGCAGCCATCAAAGCCCGCTTTGGTGAGATTTTGATTCACCGCTACATGGCGTTGCTGCGAAAGCCCAACACTTTTAATTTGACAGCAGCTTGCAGTTCCGAAGGAAAGAGTCATTCAAAGGAGAACAACGGTTGCTTTCACTCGTTTGCACTGAAATTTTGGTGCATTTTGTATTAGGCCTGTGACGACGCATGCGTTGGCAGGAGTGTGTGACGCCCTTTGGTGACAAGCTCCTTCGGACTTGTGACCAGCGCAGGTCAATTCGAGTAGCATCGGGAGGCACAGTTTGCATCGATGTATCATCTATGGGCCGCTTGTGTGAATATCAAAGAGAAATGAATTGACACTGCAAGTTGCAAACAAAATACTTTTGTATACACATAGAATATTCTACATATATATGTGTTTTCTGTCAAAGAGCTTGAGACAACTGCTTAGGTGCTAAAGCGGGTCTGTTGGGAAAAAGTGCTAGCAGCTTAGCGCTTTGGCTCGCTGAGCGGTGGCACTGCGAGGAGGATTGGTGCGACAGTTTTGTCTCTTACTCTAATCGTGTCTTCCATGTTTTTACATCAGTTTTTTGGCAGGAAGTGATTGTGCATGAATGCACCGGAGGATTTCTACGGTTTCTTCTTACAACATACCTTCCGCAATATGAGTGGCATCAAATGCTCAGAGTTGAAGGTGATGATGGGGTCAAGGTTCCTTGTGCTGCCAAGGATGATATGGTGACAGACCCTTGGCTGCTGTCACCTGTCAACGTGGGGTGGCCAATGCACCGGCCTCGATTGTACTCAATTGGATTATTGAAATCCAAATGCTACTTTGAACCTGTGGGGGCCAGCATTTCAACATCGGGAATGCAGCGCATGGTTCATTTGTTTGAGAAGCCCGCTCTCCCATGTAGCTGCTTCTTCTCAGCCCCTTCAGTCATTTAGTTGCAGACCAATTTATGTTTGTCTATGTTTGTTGCTGGTTGATGTGTTGTAGCTACTGACCCAAACGATCTTGTGCACTTTGCAATCCAACAGGACATGGTGCAAGAAGAGAAGGTTCGTGCTGCCAAACGGGCAGCCAAACCAAACAGTTCAAACTTCTCTGATCTGCTTACTGGCCAGCTACTCAGTGATTGTGTTCAGGTGCTTGCCTGGTTTTGATTTGAAGAAAATAGTGAGAACTCAGGTGCCAAGCCAGTTTGGCTTGCCAATTACCGCAAGTGTGAAAGAGTGTTGCGGGGATGGGACCGAGGACTGGATTTGACAAATGTTTACTTTTGCAAAGTTCTGGTGCCAAGTCATCGTCAATTTTCCACAGGAGAGGTTGCGCAAGTGTGCAACTTGAATCAGAACCCGAAGGCCAGGGCAATGGTGTCTGCCACCATGCCCACGCTATTGAGACAGGGCACCATGTGGCTACTCTTGCCTGGTGGGCAAGAAGGGGAGAGATGGCTCTTGCCAGAGGTCACATAGTGTCAATTTGTATCTTGTGTTTGTAGTATGTAGGTGTCTTTTGCAAGTGTTGCAAGTGTATTTTGCATTTGCCTTCCATCACTTTCCTCTTGAATACAATAATAGAGACAGCTTCTGCCGATATCTGTGTATACATGTATGCTATGTAGCTCGCTGTCACACTGTGTATACTATTCTGTAGTCCGGTTTACCAAGGAACATCTCAATGCCATGGGGCACTATCAGTGGCCAGAGTTTTCATCTACAAGCCGCTGGCCATTGTACAACAAGAAGATAGGATCATCTTTGGCCAAATCACTAGCAGGAAACGAACCTTGTCTGCGTTGGAGGATGAAACTCAATTATCACAATACAGCTGTGACTTCAACGTTGTAGTCAGTTCCAATTCCAAGCAAAACACAAGGCGATGCATCTCAGCATCATCGGCGGCTTGTGGTGTGTGATTCTGACGAGCTTGCGATTGAAGAGTGATGAAGATTCAGACTCAAACTTGTAGGGGTTCAAGCGTGAGAGCAAAGCAGTAGCAGAGTTGCATTACAATTTGCAATATGATAGCTTTTAGTGATGTTTTGCACATACCCGGTGCCCGATGCAATTCAATATGTTAACTTATATAAGTTTTTGTATACGCTGTAGAAGGAAACCATTCACTATATGCAGCAGTTATAGTACTATAGGCACTGTTTGGCAGCAGCAAAACATTTGTTTATAGTTATTTTGACGGGTGTGTGAACATGCACAGTTCACTGAAGAGCTATGCACGCGTCATGCGTTTGACGGAAAAGTTTCTTTTGCATCTGCTACTCACTACTCAAGCCTACTCTAGCACAACAAGGAAACACAAGGAACGCCTGACATCCTGACTCGCCTGACATAATTGTGAATAGGGACGATTGCGAAATTGTTGTTGGCTCAGAGGGCCATTCTGGTAGTGTTTAGGTAGGATCTTGGAGTGTGAAAGTTGTTTGAATCGCTGCTTGGCAGCAGGTAGTTCGCAGCAGTGCAATGAAGGCCATGGCTTCCAATGCGGATAGGGATGTTGTTCCATTGGAAGCGAACATGGGCCCAGCTGTTCCAGCCCTGCCACCCCCAGTGGGAGGGGGAACCACTCTCATGGCATCTTGCGCTATATGCAAAAAACCTTGCCACCGGCAGCCAACAAGGTTCTCACCTCAGCCACAAGCAGTCATGAATAATTTGTGGCTTGCGCGGTCAACCGGCAAGTTGCCGGCAAACTCAGGTTGACTCAACTTTGTGGCACGCACATTCCAGATCGTGACAACATGCTGAATCAAGCATCAAGGGCTTCTGCAGGCAAAAAAAAGACGGTGATGGTGACGTTGGCGCCGAGGCTGGCGATGACAGTTCTGGCAAGCTCAACCTGAAGGAACACCTTCTCCACATGGAAAAGACTGACAACCCTAAATTTGTTGTTTTGCTTCTTGCAATGATTACTGCGTCATTCAGTGAATCTCATGTTTCCCGGCCAACCATGGCCTATGAACAATGGCTGAATACGTATATGTAGAATAAAGTGTGAAGCTAAGGCTGGCAGACTTCTGTGTGAAGTCACCTCCACCTGGCCGAGGAAAAACACGTGTTCAATATTCTTTTGCTTCGATCATCGAGTCGATCACAGAAGGCCGTCGCATAGAAAATATTGAGCAAGGGAAACCGCTATGCTATGCTGACTACATCAAGTTTTGGACTGAGCAGTGCGATTCCTGTTGGAGACACTTTGCGCCAGACAGGAACCTATTGCAGTTGCAAGCGATTGTGGAGTATGAAAATATACCTTTCTATATGTATCAAACTAGATATTGCATTGTTCTTTATCTCAGGATTGTCGGAAGTTGCTGCGAGGGACAAGTGGAAGATGGAGCTTAATAGCAAGTCAGTACGCAAGGAGAAGTCAGATTCAATTGTAGAGTATCGAAAAAGCATGAAGCATTCATGCAATTGCAGTAAGGTCAATGTCTTAGAGTTTTTTTTGCATATGTTTGAAGATGTTGTCTTGCAAGGACCAGGTACAAGCCAACGATTTGCAGGGTCGAGATGTTGGATTGGTGGGCGGCTTAATTTACAAGCAAAGCTGAGACCCATGCATGGTCATCAGTATACCTTGTAGGTGTGGCGGATCTATGTGAGAATCAATGAGCTGGTTGAAAGCAAGACTTTCAAGGCACGGTCAATATGTTGTTTACCTCGACTTGAGTCTCAATCAATCATTTGCAGGGTCCATTGTCCATTGGACCATTTTGTCAGGAGTCGTCAGTGGCATCAAACAAGGTACAGGAGTTCAAAAATCCAGGCGATAAGCAAATCCAGGAGCTCGGAAACAGGATGGCTGAGGCACTGGTCCACCACCACTTCCTTGAGTTTGCTGTTCTTGTTTGTCATGGAAAGGTGTGAAATCAAGACTTGTTTGTCATTGTCATTTACAGCAAATTTCATGACAAGCCTGACAAGCCTGAGTGTTATTTTTGTGTTCAGGCAAAGAGCGCTATGCCTTTGCTTGACGATGATGTCACTTTGTCCTCGACCACAGGGGGTGCCAAAAGCATTGCGCACGCTGGTCAAGCTAGTCAGCCAGCACAGGCCCAGACCCAGAGTCAGAGTTCTCTTGCCCGAGTTGCACTTGGAAAGGGGACTACTCCAGCAGTTGCCTCTGCACGCCTGAGTGCCAAAACATTGAAGGAGTTCACATCTGTCAAGAGCCTCATTGAGAAGGCTGTGGATGAAGCAACGAAGTTGCTCTCTAAGATGTCAGACTACTATGATTCAGAGGCTGCTAAGAAGGATGACCTGAGCTACAAGGAAATCCAAAAGCGGTATGACATAGTGGTAGAAATCAGAGATGGAGATGCCACTCACTCTTCTGCAGGGGATGCAGAGCTTCTTGAAGCTGTTGAGGCTGACGAGTATTTGCGGGAACTGAGCTTTGTTCAGCTGAACGTGATGAACGTCCGGAGCCTCACCTACTTGCGAAGTGTAATGGCGCCATGCCAGCCGACCAACGAGGGTGTGCTGGCAGTTTTCGAGAGGCAAATTGAGGTTTTGCGGTTCATGAGGCTGTGTGCTGAATCACTGTTCCCTGGCCAAGACAGTATATTGTATATATTCAGGGTTTAGTTTAGTTTGCTGTTTGTTTAGGTGGGGTGGAGTTATTGTATGTGTCGAAACGTTGTAATCGATTGGCCTCAGGAAGACATCTTGCAGTCAGTTCATCGCTCTGCAAAATGCAATGGCGAAGGCAAGGAAAGATGAAGCCAAGCTGCTTGAGAGGCAAGCTGAGAAGGACAGGAAAGCAGCCGAAGCACAAAAGAAGAGAGAAGAAAAGAAAAGGCAGAAGGAGGAACAGAAACAATTGGCCAAGGAGAAGCTCGCAAGGGAGAACGCAGAGCAAATCCCTGAGGAGCCGGGGCCGGAGGGCAAGGGAAGAAGGCGAGGTAGAGGGCCAGGTGCTGGCAAGCTTCAGGAAGCTGATGTTCCAATTCTCCGAGAGAAGTTTCCTGCTGCCCTGTCCATCGAGATCACAGCTGAAGTTGATGTGTTTGCCCAACGTCTGCTTGCAGACCAGGGCAAGGTTCCCACTATGGCGAGATTGAAGAAGGGGCCTATGAAAAAGATTCTGAAGGCTTCCCAAGCTGTGCCTCAAGGCACCCTCAGCTCCCACTGCAAACACATTGCAGGACAAATCGCTGACTTCAAGGATGATGTCGAGAAAGCGAGCGCGCAGGCACATGGAAGGAAAAGCAGACTCACCAAGACAGTAGAAGGCCCAGGTGATTTGTTGGCTATGGATCTGATGCTGCGGCGTGTTTTGGAGCAAGCTGACCCGCAGTGTAGTTCATTGCCCGTCATTCTGGATCGTGGCGAGCTTGGATTGGCAGTGATTCTCGGACATTCAATTGATGCGCTTTGTTTGACATTTTTTTGCTTAAACCAATGACCCTCACCCAACCACAGTGATTAGCACGAGGGCCCCCCCCCCCTCCAGCCTCCAGCCGCCAGCCACAAAAATAACATTGGACAACTTGTTGGAGCATGTTGGAGCATTTGGTCAGGATGGGCAACCTTCCTGCTAACATATCGGACGTTGAGAACAAGGCTCTCCTGGACAAGAACCTGACAAAGCTGAACGGGCTTATGTTCCAGTCAATCTTGCGTGGAGAGAGCTTCACCCAATTTGTGCAAGGACTGTGACGACAACTTGCAACATACCACATGACCACATGTCCCAAATCTTTTTTTGACCCGCGGACCCACTGCTATTAGACATTAGGTGGTTTTCCCTCACTAAGAGGTTGCCCAGCAATGCACTACCAGATCGAGGGCTGCAAGGTTGGCGTGACCATTGACGTTTACGAGCTGAAAGGTCTTTATGAGTACTTTGGCTGACTTTAGCTGCTGGCTGGCTGGCTGTTCTTTTGCTGTTGCTGTCTCTTTACTAATGATCAGTTTTCAGCTTGGCAACTAGATGCAAACTTCAGCCATACTTGGCCTCAAAAAATGATGTTGCCAACGCCAACGCCACTGCTACTGTAAGTTGTTGGTGTTTTTTAATCATTTGTCAGGTTGTACTGGCTGGATGCGCAGAATGCACCTAATGCACCGCCGTCGACAGACAACCCAAGCCTTGCAGAGTTGGTCAACTTTCTTGAGAACGTCTTGACAGCAAATTTTCTGCAAAGTTTGTACACAGATGAAATCCATACTTGCACCCTTCGTTCGTACTACTTGACGCCTGGAGACATCATCTACTACCCTGCTGGGAGCTTGGTAGTAGAAAAAGCCATGGAAGATTCTGGCGGGGTTGGCAAATCATCCGTTGGGTTGCGTGCAACTGTGGTTGTTGCAGAGGACAACAGCTTGGACAAGCTCCAGCTTTGCAGTGGATTCAACCAAGCGCCACTTGACGGCAACTATATCGAGAGTCAATTATAGGCTTTGCTCTTTTGACATGACAATGTTCCTTTTCATGAGCTCATTCTCATCCTCCTTCCTATTTCTTGAGCATGCCAAGGTGGGATACTTCAAGAGCTTTCATTGATGCGCTGTCTCCACTGAAAGACGAATTGGAGGAGAGATCTAAAGGTGAGTTGGTCTTCCTGACTTCGGAAGGGAAGGGTGATGAAGTGACCCAGGAGAATGAAGTGGGCCAGGACCACGACCAGGAAAAGCTGAAGGAACTCCAACTTCGTTTGTCTCAATCTTCCAGCCATCCGACTTCCATGATGTCGAAAAGCAAGAAGGAGCTGCAGGAAGCACAGCTGCAGCTGCCGGACATTGAGCAGTGCAATATGGAGCAGGCACTGGCACTACTGACAACGGCAACCACAGCAGATGTGGAGGACGCCGCAATTGTAAAGTCTGGCATGCATGTCACACGTGTACTTGGTGCAGAATCTGACGATGGGGGTGAGAGTGAGGAAGAAGAAGATGAAGCTGATGATGACGCAGGGTCTGCAGAGGATCAGGATGACTCGGAGGATGCACACAGAAAGCGCAAGAAGGCCAAGAAGGAGAAAGTGAAAGGAAACAAACACAAGAAAGACAAGAAACACAAGGAGGGCAAGAAGCAGGACAAGAAAAACAAGAAGCAGCGGAAGCAGAGTCAGATAGATGGGAAAGGGCTCCTTGCCATTGAAGACGGTTCGCCAGCAGACACACCGACAGCAGCTGCACTGCCAGTAGGTCCAGATCCAGCGCAGGAAACACCAGCAGCGCAACCGCCTCAGGGGCATCAAGAGAGTGCTTCAGCCCCAGTCATGCCAGCTGCGCCAGAAGATCCAGCAGCTGATCCTGGGATGATGTCTGCAGCCGAGGGAGCAACAGCACAGGCTAAGGAAGCAGCAGCTCCAGCAGCTATGGCTATGGCCTCAGCAGAAGCAAAAGCAAAGCTAGAAGAAACAGATGAAGAGTTCAGTATCAGGCTTGCGAACATGATTGATGTTGGGTATGCAATTCCAGTATCGCCAGCATCTGAGCCAGAACCATTGCCAAAAACCACTGGACCTGCAGCAGCAGC